CTAAGCACCCCCCGAAAAATCAATTAGTATTTCATTCAATGCAAATAGAATCAACAATTAAGACAGAAACAAAAAGAAAACAACCACCGAACTCTCCAAGCCAAAAATAAATTAAGAGAAACAAATGCAAGAAATGAAATTGAAAATGAGAACAACAATTAAAGATATAAAATCACACACCGAAAAAAAATGGGCACGCAACGTCGTGCACACTGCACACGACGTGCATCACTCGTAACAGAAAATATACATGGAAAATGCAATGTACATGAAAAATGCAATGTACATGAAAAGTCGTGAACGATGCGAAATACCTATCACTAAAATCACACATGAAAAATGTAACATGATACAATGTATCCTACTGCTAAGACACTGGTACCACATGTCGAAAAAATACAAGAAACAGTAGTCTACAAGTCGTGTCGTAGCTGCCGAGATATTGTACTCAGTCTGCTGCAACCGACGGTACTCTACGAACACCCTTACTGGTACCAAAATCATACTCTACGAACACCCTACTGCTACCAAAATCATACACACCAACAAGTAAAGCACGCACACTACCACTCAGTGTCTAACAATACTAAGACAAGACGAGACGACAAAAAAAATTAGGACAGCATAACATGACGAAGTACAGTGCGAGTAGGGGAGAAGCGGAGTGTTGGCCTCATCAGTCAACGACCCTTCTTCCCCTTCCCGCTCTGTCTCCTCGTACCCCCTCGAGTGTCGGATGTCGACCTCTTCCTCCCTCGTGCGGATGAAGAAGTCCGCGCAGCGAAGCGTGTAGATGCACACGTCGGTGGGGGTCTCGGGGGAGGTGGGGGCTCATCGTAGTCGTCGTCGTCGTCACCATCGGAACCGCTCTTGCTCTCCTCCTCTCCCTCCTCCTCGCCCTCATAGTCCTCATCCTCTTCCCACACTGCCGCATCCGTATTAGGATCACCCTCCTCTCTGGTGACAGGGTCTCCTCTCTTCCTCAACACAACAACCCTCGCACTAGCCTCTGCAACCGTTTGCTCACGCCGGGATTCACGAGGCATCCCCAACCCCTCCGCCCCCGAACTCTCTCCAAGTGCAGCGCCTCCCTCTGCAGGCACGGGGCGTGGACAAGGAGGCACTCCACGCTTGCGTTGCGTGGAGTCTGCTCATGCACGACACGCGTCGCTGCTCTCAGAGCGTGCTCCAAGCTCTCGGTGGACACTCCTCTGCTCACAACCTGATGCTGGTACCTCCCTCGTCGCAGTCGTCCTGGCACCGCGGGGTCCCAAGCCCGGCTGAAGGCGTGCAGTGTGCTCCGTGACACGGCGGGTGGAATCCAAATCTATGTCTATCCTCCCGAATAACGTCGTGTCACACACGTCCCGCTGAACTGCAGTCGTGTCACGAATCCTAGATCTCCCAGGCGTGTGTGGGGATCGAGAGCCTCTGCCTGTAGGCGACGATGATGGATCACCTACAGGTGGTCTAGGAGGAGGGGGTGGCATGTCTCCTGTGCATGTCGCTGTCTCCATCACGCCACCCGAAACCCCTGGAACATGTCCCACGGTACGTCCTCCGGTGGAGATAGACCCAGACCACACGGGCGACGTAGGACCCCATAGAACCGAAGGGATCGCCTGCCATGCTGGATGCTCGAGCCTCTGGTCGAAGATCCGTCGGTCCAATCGAGTAACATCGCGCACAGCCTCTCTCGCCAACTGCTCTGCATCCAAAGGACGACGGACCTCCTGTGGAGCAAAGTGACTAGGAAGACGTGGGGGCACAACCACCGGGTCGGACCCCAAATCCGTGATAACAGGCGGTGGCACACCATGCACTGCCATCTTAACTGCCTGCGACTGTCAGCCCTGAGCCAAGTGCATGCCCGAGAACGGAACGACTGGACCCGTCGCTGTCTCGTGGACCACGCGCCGTGCGTCTATAGCCCCCTCGTCTCGCCGTTGTCCTGCCTGCACCGCCTCATCTACCGTCTGTGGTCGTCCCTCCACAGCAACAACCGCTGCCTCTGCTCCACCCGGCATAGCCTCATCGTCTGCCTCTGCTGCCACTCCCTCCGCAACGTCCTCCCCCGCCACCACCCACCCTGCACACCATCCCCCCCTGTCTCTCGAAGCCTGGCCTCCTCCGAGGCCCATGCGAACGTCTGAGCACGCAGGTTACTCGATGTCAGAAGTCGAGCCCTCTCACGCCCCATAATGTTGCGTGCTGCATCTGGAGACTCAGTCGTCGTCCTCTCTCTCGGGGTCTGCGTCAAAGTCTGTCCTGCCGCCTCGTCCCTCGATGGAGCCCGATCCGTCGATGTCGCCCCGTCGCAACTAGGTGGAAGACTCATCGACAAATCAAAGTCTAAGTGGGTCCCCATCTCCGAATCTGAAATCCCAAACCCCCTCGCCACACCTGGGGTCATACCCGCTATGACCGGATCGAGCTCCTCCGTGAGGAACTGCTGCATGAGGCGCTCGTCATCGCCCCCACGTGGCACCTCCGCCTGTGCGGCTATCTCCTCCTCCACTGGTCCTGCCACCCCCCCCTCCACTGCAGCTGCTGACGGTGCGTCCTCCTCCTCCACTGCTGCCCCCTCCACCTCCACTGCGGCCGCTCCTCCAACTGCTCCTCCTGGTGTTGCCACTTGCCCCTCCACTATTGCTGCTCCTCCTACCGCTGGTGCTTCCTCCTCCAACAGTGATGCTAACATCTCCTCCAGCACTGCTGCTGCTGCTGCTATCTCGTCCACCGCGGCTGCGACCGTCGCGTCCGCCACCGCCGCTGGTGCCATCCCCCTTCCACTGCTGCTGCCGACGGTGCCCCCTCCTCCTGCAATATCCCCGGGGAAGGTGATCGTAACCTCAGCTGGCAGATTGCCCCGCCTCTATGGAGAAGTCCGTGCTGAGGCAAAGAGGACCCCAACTCCTCCGTGTCCGCCGTTGCCATGGTCGGTTGAAGTGGCGAGACGGGCGATGTTGGTGCAGGACTAGGAGCAGAAGGCGGCGGCATGGACGAGTCCCGCCTCGTCGGAGTGGGGGTCGTCACCCGCGCCTCTGTGCCGCCCATGGAAGCGACCTCCCCGAATGGGCCCCAAAACTTCTCCTCTCCCCCCAGCATCTCCCTGTCCACCCGGTCCACCGCCCGACACCCGTCGTGCAATGCGTGCCCTCGTCTCCTCGTCGTCGGGATCGTCGTGCGTCTCGTCGATCTCACGGGGAATGCAGAGCGCAGGGTCACCTGCCGCCTCGGGTACCGGCTCCTCGTCCGAGTCGTCCTCCCTGGGGTAGCGACGAAAAATGCAAGCACGTCTACCGAAAACGTCATCAGCAGAGGGTGGTGCGGAGGCCCCGATGGGATTCCGGGTAATAAGCGCAACCTGACGGGCAATCTCCTCCTCCTTCATCCCCCTGCGCGTGCCCGTGCACACAGGCTCCACCTCGAGTCCTGCCTGACAATCCAGCACTCCGCCAGCTCCGCACGGTGGGTCTCCACCGCCCGCATACTTGCAATCTCATTGTGGTTGGGGAGCACAACGTGCGGGCAACTGCCAGGCTGCTCAAGAAGCACCTGTTGATATGCCTTCCAAGCCTGGTTGCGGAAGGCATTGAAGGAGACCCCGCTGGAATAGAGCCAGCGAAGGAAGACCTTCTTGTGGCGAGCAACCCACTCGCCACCGTAGACCTCAGTCACCTTCTGCGGGCGAAGCCTCTTTCCTGCTGGGGTGGCAGCCGGATCAGTTCCTGCTTCCTTCCTCTTGGAAGACCCCTCTGTTGTAGGCCCCTTGCCTGCTCGCCTCCGCCTGTCCTCCATCCTCTCCCCAGTTCCTGGATAAAACTCTGGCACGTCCTCGTGTTCCGGGACTCCTCCTCGCTCGGGCCGCGCGCCTCACGATCGACGTGGATCATGCCCTCCTCCGTGTCACCGCCTCCACCCCCCAACGGGTGGTCTGGCGCACCATGCCCACCATCTCCCCCGACGCCTCCCTCCACCCGACGCCGCCCCGCCTCTCCTCCCCTTGCACCACCCTTGCCGGGCACATCGAGTCCGTGCTCCGCTTCATACCTGGCAACCCTCTCCATATGATCAGCCTCGAACTTTTGTTGAGTCCATCGCGTGATCTCGTACAACTCCTCGTCGCTGGCGTCCTTGCGGTAGTTCGTTTGTGTGAAGTGCCTCGTGGCCTAAAACTGGGTCCCTTGGAAAACTTTATTGCAAAACGTGCAACGGAGCATCATGACCCCCTTGTTGTCGACCTTCTGGCCGACAACCAGGTACCGATACACAGGGGAGCGGGCCCTGAATGTGTCCTGCAGATGGTCTGGGCCAGGCTCATGCTGGCGGCGCTGTGCCCTCCCCATGCCGACCGCCCTGGCGAGACAACCCTCGTTGACTCTCCCCAAGCGCACCGCTGCAACCCAACCCCCGTCGACCACTGCCTGCTGCAGGGTACCCCCTCCCCCAACTCCCTCGCACCCCTCTCAGTACCCCACTCCCCCCCCTCGCGAGACAATCCTCGTTCTGCAACCCAACCCCCCTTGACCGCTGCCCGCCGTAGGGCCCCCCCTCAAGTCTCCCCTACCCTCTCCTCGCACCGCACGAACCCCGACAAATGCCCGGCGGTCCCACATGTTAAATCGTGTTAAACACCGTTCAAACGTGTTAAATCTCATTACATCGCGTTTAACACTGTTGAATTAAAAATTCAACGGCGTCAATCGGGGCCGCGCATGCCGATTCGCCGCCATCGTCGAACGCGCTCCGCTGCTGCTCCAGCTTCATCGCAGCACCGCCGCCGCTCCGCTCCACGCTCCCTGCGACGCTCCTCGCTCCCTCTCTCTCGCGGCAGCTCTCTTCCTCTCTCTCTCTCTCTCTCTCTCTCTCTCTCTCTCTCTCTCTCTCTCTCTCTCTCTCTCTCTCTCTCTCTCTCTCTCTCT